TAGCAAAATCCGTTGCATAGTTTTAAAGATTTAAGCATACATAGGGACAGAGAAAGCGACTGTGTTGTGATTATACGTGGACATATTTTGACTACACAAGTTCGACTATTTGTAATATTAACCCACAGTGCTAACGACATTTGAGATCTAAATATTAATATTTAATTCAACTAAATCAGAATTTGACCAAATTTCTTCACAACACACAAAATTTATTTAAGCATGTGTTTTGTGTGTACTTCCTTTTTTGTGTCATAATTTTTGGATGTCTTAGTTTTCTTTATCATAGGCAAAAAGTATGTTATAAATAATTAGCGTTTTGTAAAAAAAAACAATTAATATAAAAAAAAGGAGAAAGTCGGTCGATGCTTCATATGTAACAAGTGCAGACCAAGTGATTAAAGCCATACCAACGGATTACGTATCAAACAATACATTAATTGTTTCTACGCATTTTTTAGCCTACAAATACATAAAGATGCATCAGCAATATTGTTTATGGCCGTGCCGTAACGAACTCTACCCTCATATTTTCACAAACCCTTTCGTTAGATAACAGGTAATGTTTTGTTGACAGATAAGACTGAGCCAAGTCGTGTTCCGCCACAACGTAATTCGGCGGCTTTGAAAGTCTACGTGCCTACAGTCTAAACAGGTCCGTAGTTGAGAAAAATTAATAACGTCCACAAATGTTTATCTAATTAATATCTAAGAACTAGTAACATCAGAATTTGGTGCAAATCGATTTGTAGATTAAACACCATGGACTTTTTGTGGGGCGCTAATGTTCCCTGTTATAGTTATTAGTAAAATTGCTTGTATAAAGAATATACGTATTATGTATAGTAGTATAGCTTTTCGCCAACGTGGCCGCTGAAAGCTTCTTTGTGTTTTTTATTTTTTAATTTTATATTCGATTGTCTGGTTGCGGCCCTGCAATGAGCTGATAAACCTTTGTCTGTTTATCTCTCCTCGCCACTGGGCTGACGTTACACTAAAATTAAAAATCTACAGACAATAAAATATGCTTCTTTGTTAAAGAACGAGACTGGCCAGCTTTTGCAGCTTTAAAAAAAACCTCTAATATTTTTTTCTCGACAAAACAAGGTTTAATGAAATGATGTTATTTAGAATTCATCGCTTGAAGGCTTTTACAGTTAACATCGTTGGTTTCTTATTCTTAAGCTATGACAAGAACATATAGGCACGATAATGTAACCATCTTGAATCATGAAGTCAAAATTGCTACGGTGTTATAATAACTACTATCCTACTCGTCGAACTGACTGGTTTGTGTCATAAATAGGTAGGATGGTGAATTAACAATTCACCCCGCAATGACGTTTGGCCAAACGATATTGAAAAACAAGAAGAGGCAGCGGTGGCAAGAGGCGGGACCAAACCCCTAGCATTTCTGATATCCATAAGTGACCGTAACAATTGACCATCAGATGAGTCGTACGTATATTCTGTCTACAAAGACAAAAAAGTTATTCTAGCTTTTGAACATTCTTTGCATAGAGATAGGACGTACTTTATAAAAACTATACGTAATTATGTATAACAATATAGGTGATTATTAATTAACGAGTTCTTATGTACCAATATTTTCACATTAAATAACTTCTCGGTGCTTCCAGATCTAGTGAAAAAAGTGGTAAAAGCCCGTTAAATAATGGCGTTTATAATGTTCGTGTTAATAAACGCGAAAGCGCAAAAAAAAATGACGCCAGTCGGCCTCTGCATACCCGACCGCGACGGGGCAGCCCGGCGTCACCCGAAACATGTTTTGTCGAAGCCTCCGAATTCAATATCGGTGATTTTAGGGCTCTCTAGTACCATCCTCGTCGAACTCGTCGATTACGACGAGTGAACTAACCCATAGGCACATCCCATTGAGTTTCTCGCCGGATCTTCTAAGTCGCGATCCCGATCCGGCGGCAGATTTTGCGAATCACTACTCTTGCTAGGGCTAGTGTTAGCAAATTCTCTCAGGTTGAGCCCGTGAGCTCACCTACTCGTCCGGGCGTAGCTGAAATAGCCTCTTAGGCTACCAGCGAATAGATAAGGAGAAAAAAAGTAAAAACAAAATTAAATCGGCCTTGGTTGCCACGATGACTGTCTAAGAATCGTGGAAGACCGAGCAACTAGGGATCCCGGTGAAATTCGACAGACGCTTAAATCCGTAATGTCCACTTCTAACACATTCACGCTTCAATGCAAGCTGTAACATTTATCCCTCCTTCGACAAAAATGTAAGGTTTTTTTGCTTTGCATTCAAAGAACATCACCTANACAAAATTAAATCGGCCTTGGTTGCCACGATGACTGTCTAAGAATCGTGGAAGACCGAGCAACTAGGGATCCCGGTGAAATTCGACAGACGCTTAAATCCGTAATGTCCACTTCTAACACATTCACGCTTCAATGCAAGCTGTAACATTTATCCCTCCTTCGACAAAAATGTAAGGTTTTTTTGCTTTGCATTCAAAGAACATCACCCATAAAATAAAAAAAGATGTCTTGCTGTTTAAGTTGTATAATTTTTGTATAAGCTGCAAACACGATCGTCAAGTATTTTAGTCACCAGACTAAGTATATTAATATAATACAACAGAAAAAAATCTCACTAGACGAGTTTCGGAAAATGCTAATTGATAACACGACGGTTTTATCGTGTAAACTTGGAAATGTTTTTAGAACTTAACAGGATGTACAAAAAGCAACCTACGTAAAAACAAGTCCGCAAAATGGTTCCGTAGAAAATATAAATTAAAATTATAAAAGGTAAAGAAAACACCGTTTGAAAACAAAAATAATCATTTTTTCTTCTCCCGATCCTGGCCAGGGCATACGGGCAAAATTATATTTTATATTTAAATATTTTTATTTTTCTATTGCATTTGTAGGCAGACGAGCGTACCACCTGATGGTAATTGATTACCGTTCCCCATGGACTTCAGGCCAGGGGCAACGCCAAGCCATTGCCTACTGTTTAATACTCGCCACAATCCTCGTTTGAACAAGGATATGTCATAGCGCTCGGAAAATACCGTGGAGGGGAGCTCATTCCAAAGCCGGATGTTATGTGGCAAAAATATATCTGGAAACGCACTTTGGATGACCGCAATGGCTCCAGGTAGTATGGACGAACTCTACTCCGGTGATAGGCGGTGCGATGGTAAAAACGAGATGATGGTATCATCTTAAACAATTCCTTAGAGGACTCCCTATGGTACATACGGTACAAAATACAGAGGGAACTGAAGTCCCACCGAAGACCCAGAAGTTCCAAACGATCCGTAAGAATGGGATTATCGACAATCCGAGCGGCCCTCTTCTGTATGGAGTCAAATGGAATGTTAGCTGGTATTTGGAAGCCCTCGCCCAGAAGTGGGAGCAGTACTCCAGCCGAGGCCGGACCTGTGCTTTGTATAGCAAAAGTCTTTATCCAGGCGTGAAGTACCGCTTCGCTCTGTTAAAGACTCCCAGCATTTTTGACGCCAACTTGTCTTTGCCCTGCAAAATTCTCCGAAATTGGACATTGCTCGATATATCGACCCCAGGTATCCCAATACTCTTGGAAGGCTGCAGGGATACTCCGTAGAATTGCGGCACCATGGCAAAGGGGTCCTTCTGCGCAGTGAACACGCAAACTTGTGTCTTCAACGGGTGGCATTGAACTAAGTATACTTAGTGAACTATATAATCTGTAACTTATATCATCTGTTCTTCACACAAACATTAAAGTAAATCGAACATCTCAAAGTTATTGAAAACTACTTTAAAAAATTCCATTACGTAGATAAATAGATACAAATCAAGCCAAGCAAATCTTTACTATGAACAATAGCTATCATCTATGATCCAACATCGAACTCATTTCAGCCTTAGTGGTCACGGAAAACTAACGATTAATAATTATATTTGTATGATATTAAACACGGCCAAACTAATTATTATGCAGTTTATTGAATCGCACCAATTAAATTGTATTGTCGTATCACACTTTAATCCGATTGAGGTTAAAAAGGATGCTACGTAATTTAAATATAGAATTCGCATAGTTTAGGGTAGGTACGTACCAGTTCCGCACCGCTCTTGATTCCACGTTTCACAACGCCCTCCACACCGCCAGAGACAAGAATAGATGGAGAAATATCGTGCGTACGAAGGTGATACCAAAGGGTGGTTACGACCCTCAGCAATGAAGAATACGACGCAAGGAGGAGGGAGGAGGGTAGGTACGTGGTTTCGGCATATAATAATATAGAATATCCAGGCCACTGAGGGACTCACTGGAGAACAGACAGAAGCTTTCTTGAATACTTTAGGAGCGTACTCCGATCGCCAACCGGCTTTTCCTGGTGGCAGGGCTTTTTTTATTGCTTAGATGGGTGGACGAGCTCAAAACCCACCTGGTGTTAAGTGGTTACTGGAGCCCATAGACATCTTGAGATATGAGTTCTAAGGTATCAGTATAGTTACAACGGCTGCCCCACCCTTCAAACCGAAACGCATTACTGCTTCACGGCAGAAATAGGCAGGTCAGTGGTACCTACCCGCGTGGACTCACAAGAGGTCCTACCACCGGTAATAAACCACCAGGCATAATGTAAGCCTGCACGTATAGGTACCACGGTCTTACCATTGTCGATCGCTAGTAATGCATTCCGGCTTGAAGAACAGCTCTTGACGGTGGATGGCGACATTTACGTAGTAACGTCTATACACTCCGGTAACAAATTATCCTCAATTCGGCCGTGACCATCAATCGAAGTAATAAAATAAAGTGCTTAATTAGTATGTATGTAAATCAAAGAATGTCGTTTTGGTATCTACAAAGATGGTCTCTCAAATATTTGGCTTCAATAGTTTGTGATAGATAATGAATGCCTTAGTAGAAAACGAAAAAAATAAATAACAATACTAATAAAATAATTTCCATGCAAAAAACACCGAGACTGGTTCACGAGGCCTGATGCAGGTTTACAGTATAAATAGTACATTCTCTCAGATACCGTGTATCCCTCGTATATTACGCACGTGTGCAATATGAACAAAATAATATTCATCGCTTTAACTATATGTATTTACGAAGTTTATTCGTATGATTACGTTAATAAATATGATGAAAACAATGGTGATAAGAAAGATTCTGAATCTGAAGATTATTGGGGTGATCCGGAAAATTTAGAAAAGCCATCGTACAATGTAAACGAAGCCCCGGAACTGTTCAAGAAATTTATTACGGACTACCAGAGGCAGTACAAAGATGAGTCCGAATACAATCTGCGTTACACTTACTTCGTGCAGAACTTGAAGGACATTATTGAACTGAACGCTAAAAACAAACATTCCTCATCTGATATAAACATGTTCGCGGACTACTCGCCTTCTGAATTGGCGTCGCTCGGATAAAGATTGACAAGGTAGGTAGTTTTTCTTTTATTTTAATTTCATTAACTACATATTTTATATGACTTTAAAACAATTCGCAAAAATTCAGTTTTCGCTGGTTTTATTGATCATCTTCGAAGCGCGGTAAATCAGGGTATGCAAACTATTTAAAACTAATAAAACCTAAATGATAAAATTATTTTGTCTATGACTGTTTCATAGGCATGCATAGACAAATCGGTGAAATTGAAAAGCTGGAATTTTTAAAGAATTTTCCTATCGTTTAATAGACTACTAAAAATATTTTAAAAACAAGCATCCTTCCCTTAAGGGGATTAGTATGGAAATATCTTACACAATGCGTTTTTTTTTTGAAACTTCTTTTATATTAAAATTAAAAAAAAAGGCTAAAAAGTTATTTATTTATTTATTTCATTAAATGATAAAAAAAATCAGAACCCCTTATGGTATGTGCAATACGGTGATTACGTTTCAATTGAGAAAATGTATTCCTTTGGCGAATTCATATGAAACATATGATACGTGTCTCTCAGAACTTTACGTTCCATCTTTGTAAAGTTTCAACGAGATATTTAAAGAAGCTTAATCTCACGTCTTTTCCTGTCTATATATCATTTCCGAAGTTTCAAATACTTATCAATTTTCGTAGTCACGGACAAACACTCGTCTATGATGCGTGAAAATCGAAGAAAATACCAATAAGGTTATTTACAAAAAAATCTATACATCGACCGATTCCCTGAATGTCCCTATGGTCGTTTTGCAGCTCAATATAAGTATATCTATCGTATTCAATGACAATCCATCGCACAATCGTACCAAAAAATTTGTTACACTTGGGAAAACTCACTTAGTGCACATTCGAATTCTTTATCACATTTCTACAACTATTACCGAATGTACCTGCGTTCACATAACGTACCTGTAGAGGTGTCCGCGACCTGTAGAATAAGATACATGATTACACTTTAAGAAATATGAGTATGCCGAGGTTCCAATCTGGCAATCGATTCTATCGAAACACGCTGTTCGCTAAAAGATAAGACGCCCGGAGTAATACTATTAAGGCGATGCGGCTATGCCGGTACTCAAATCCAGCCGGTAATTACTAATTTTTCTAAGGGAATACGTACTTCACTAATTCACAGGAACAAGTTCCATGATGATGAAATAACTTGTGTAATAAACATCAAACTCGCAAACATTAGAATTTATGTAAAGATTATACAATGGACGCTTTGTGATAACTGTGGCCTCCACTAAACACTTAGCACTTGATGCACCGTGAATTCGTACACTAGTGTACGCCATGAATTAAAAAAAAAATAACATTAACAACTTCTACGATTATGGCACGATATCGTTTACTAAATTTAAACCAGTATTTTTTTATTTTTTCCACAATTACTCGTACTAAAGTGTATTGATTGATCCTCACGCGAATGTAGCAGTATCCTCCCTATTTTTTGTTACAAACATTTTTAAATGCGTTCAGGCTTAAAAAAGCAATGCCACCAACCACCACCCGTAACACGTGCGCCCCAGTACTAGCGGTATAACTTTAAAACAAAGTAAAATTGTGCTATCCGGGGGCGAGTGAGGCAAAGCTCTCCTCTTTACGCAGAAATCCGCCGCCGCCGAGCAGGGGGTCGGGACCGGGGTCTCGTCCGTAACCCGACCCCCTAAGAGCTTCGGGCTCCACCCGTTTTGTGCGGGAAAGAGCCTAGGCGTGGGGCGGCGTGGTAAGCCGCGTTCCCCCGACCGCTCCGGGGGAAGGTGTAGCGCGGCGCCATCAATGCGGGCTCTTGGCCCGTCGACTGAGGGAACCGGCGGTCGTGTCGCTGGCGGCCGCCGGTCCGGCGTCTGGGGGACGGCGGGATGGATGTAATATGCTCTGCGTAAACCCTGTCCCACCGTCTCAATAGCTCCGACTGGGTTTCCGCCCGGTCCGGGGTAGGGCGCCGGCTGTGAGCGGCAGGAGTTTTTAGTGAGGTTCAACTCCCACATACGGGGATCCGGGGATTTTCACCTGCGAAAAAAAAAAAAAAAAAAACTGAACCTGCGATACTTTTAAAGACGTTTTTGTAAGTAAATAGTTTTTTCTTTTCAAAAAACATTCAAAACGTTTTTTATATATTTTTATTGCCCTAGTAAGCAGACGAGCGTACGGCCCACCTGATGATGAGTGGTTACCGTTGCACATGGGCTTCAGCATTGCTAGGAGTATAGCCAAGCTGCTGGCTACCGTTAAGTACTCTCCACAAGCTTCGTTTGAAGAAGGACATGTCATAGCGCTCAGGTAACACCGTGGAGGGGAGCTCATTCCAAAGCCGGATGGTACGTGGCAAAAAAGATCTCTGGAAACTCCCTGTGGATAACTCTACTCCGGTGGCGGGCAGTGCGATGATAAAAACGATATGATGGGATCATCTCAAACAATTTCTCAAAGCACTCCGCATGGAACATACGGTACAAAATACAGATGGAACTGAAGTCCCTCCGCAGACCCAGAGGTTCCAAACGATCCGTGAGAATAGGATGGACGGCATTCTTCTGTATGGAGTCAAATGGAAGTAGCTAGTATTTGGGAGCCCCAGCCCAGAGGTCGAAGCAGTACTCCACGCGAGGCTGGACTTGTGCTTTATAAACAAAAGTATTTGTCCAGGCGTGAAGTACTGCTTCGCTCTGTTGAGGAATCCCCACATTTTGGATGCCAACCTGGCTTTGCTGCAAATGACTCCGAAACTGGACATCACTCGAAATGTCGACTCCAAGTATCCCAATACTCGTGCAACGTTGCAGGGATACTCCTTGGAATTGCGGCGTCATAACAAAGGGGTCGTTCTTCGCAGCGAACGCGCAAACTTGTGTCTTCAACGGGTTGAATTGAACCAGGTCCAATTCGCTCCACTTGGAGACTCGCCCCAGAGAGTTCTCCACTTCGGACACAAACTATAATACCTGGCAATTGATCTCGCACGGTAACAACACAACTAATAATAAACTCGATTACGGATTTACGCTATGCACACAAAGATTAATTACTAGAAATACACGAAAACGGTGAAAGTAAGCGGCCCTAATATATTAGAATTATATATGAATAGAATTGTTTTTTTTCCCTATTCGATGGTAACTTAACGAGCTATTCCAGCTAATAATTACCTATATATTGGACATATGTAACGTATTTAGTAAAGATGGATTTACACTTTAAAAATAATATGAAATTCCTATACTTTGTTGTTTATCATAACACTTTGAACATAATCTCCAGGCCCCTCTTTTCACGGGGCTTCTGGGTCAACGTGCAAGCGCTTCTAAACCTTCTGGTTTCTGCTGGTTTACCAGCCAATAACGATTGCAAAACGAGAAAATACCCGAACGCATTTGCAAGTTGTGAAAAAAAGTCAATTCAAATATCAAATCCTTTGGACGAAATTAAATGCAAAGGTGTTCTAATAAGTTAGTTAATTCTTCGTTTATATTCTTGGTACATTAAACAGAAATGCTAATGTAAAATTTAATAAAATACATATTAATACGCAAAGCAAAAACTTTGTACTCCTTTTTACGAAAATTGCGCAGACGTAGCACTATGAAATTTCCCACACTTATATAGATTATAGAGAAGAAGTACAGAATGTTAATATTTTTTTCAAGTTATGCATAAAAATACATTAAATCAATAAAAAAAACAATATACACACTGCTCTGTATTTTACACAACACATATTTTACAACTTTTGTTATTATTTGTTTGACAAGATTTTGTTATTTAAAGACCGTGGTAAAATCGAGAATAGATTGATATTGTTTGTCTTTAATATTATTTGTCTATAGTGTAGCCTTGGCAAAATTTGTGATGATAGAACCATAATAATGATCAAACTTATAATTTCAATTACATATTACATACATATTATATATTATACTGGGGGAGCACTAGTAAATATTACAACGACAGAGAAATCATTGATAAACAGAGAATAATCAGGCTTACTTGCAACATTTCAACGATATCGCAAGGATATAGGAGCTAAGTTCCGTAATCCTCCAATAAAATGCAACTATTTATTTCATTACGTACGTACGTACGTATTATTATTATGTGCTTTATATAAACATATTGTTCTTTATGGTGATTTTTGCGGCCGAGATGTAAAACCTGTTTTGATAACCGATGACTTGATAACTTTACTGTGGGAATGGAATTATTATTTTTCAGGGACATTTTTTTCTCTAAATGGATAAACGAAAATTGAGCCAATATGTGGCTTTTCTGGACTACTTGGGCCCGTTTAGATCACAATGTGATATAGCAGACCCACGTTGAAACAAGAACATCAAATATCAATTGTATTGTTTAACGAATTATTATTTAAATTGTGTCCATAACTGCTTCACCGTAGAATCAGACAGGTCAGTTGTACCGGCCAAAGCGAGCTCAAAATCCTCCAACTACCAATAATAACCAATTATAATAAAACAGTAAAATTGGTATTCTGCGTAGTTTGACCGATAGATTTTAGTTATTTTGTCTAAAGACAGCGTTGAATATGTCCAATTAAGCCGCTTATATTTTAAATTTAGACTTGCCATTTGATATTTAAGATAATCCGGTTGTTATCGAATCCTTTTTATTTCAACATATATCATTTTCTAACAAAAAATTTAATTATGGTTTCGATGAGTTTGGGTTTTTTTTTTAATGATTAAATAAAAATAATATCTAAGCATAAAACAAGAAGACGGTTGAATGTGAAGGCCATGCCGGCAGTTTTTCTTTTTCAATTTTTATATCTTCGTCCCAAATAAGATTACGATGAATAGCTGTCTCTTGAACACATTATAAATGGAATAGATCTCGCCAATCCAGGATCGAGATACTCTAACGAGGCCACATTAATAATGCAAGTTAAAGAATTTTGCATAGGGACGCTTCAACCGAACGGAAGGGTCCATAGAGGCGGCATAATGAATTAAATTAGGTTCCACTGATAACCTCCGTACGCAATCTCGGCTTTCTACGGAGCATACATGGGATTAAAGCCGATAGATTTGGTTACATTTATGAATTTATTAAAATTATCTTACGTATGCCAATATCCAATACATAACATAAACTATGCCAATTAAAAACTGTCAGCTCATAATATTACCAATGAAATTGATTATACTTGTTTGTTTACACAATAAACTTATTTTACAAAACACATTTAATTGCTATTAGGCTATGTAGATGAACACATTATTCAAAACGCTCGGAAGAATAGACGTCGTATCTTCCTAATTACTTGTTCATATCATCTTACCTGTGCGTTAATTAATCATGATCATGTGTAATATAATACGGTACATAGTTTCAATAGATTGGTATTTTTCATTCATTTTACAACAGTTAGAGAAGCCGGGTTTGACCAGTAAGCTGTAATAATTATTATTCCTTGTACACAAAATCGAAACGGCGTTGTAAGAACGCTTAAGCCTTGTTCGGACTAGGCGAGTATTTTAGTCGAGTACCGAGTAATTTAGTAGCTAAATGTGTCTGAGCACCAAAAATTTAGTCGAGTAGTTTAGTAAATAATTAAGTCAAGTCAATCCATTTCGTTCTATTTTTTCGGGCGAGCAGCGAGTAGTTTAGTCACTAAATTACTCGGTACTCGACTAAAATACTCGCCTAGTACGAACAAGGCTTTACATTCAAACTAAAACGCAGAATTAACGGTGAATTTTGTTCTACCCTAGCTCAGAATCTGCTCTATCACTAGTACCTGTTTGCGGGTTTGATTTCTACACGATGTTATTCCTTCATAATAAAAGTAATTCGTGTCAATGAGTTAATAAGCTACGTATTTGATTAGAAACATTTGTAGCAACCTACATGATTTGAACATCGGTACAGCCACATTGCTCGATACGAATGGACCAGGCGTTTTGTCTTTTGAATGAAAAGCCATGACGACTTTCTTTTGTTAATTTATTTTTATTTTCATTTTACCTGTCGGTGTTTTGAATAATATATCAAACAGTATCAAACAATCGGTCAAATTTAAATAGTTATGAGGTATGATATATGATCATGATAGTGACGTATATTACTAAGATGTTGGATAATATTTAAGTTACTGTACGTACCTCAAAAACTTACTATTAACAACTATTTGTTTCTTACTAACAGAATATTAATATTACGATTTAAGTCAGATTGAAGTTGGTAAAAAAATTAATTTTGTAATAAAATAACGATTTCTACAATGCTCAGTTACCGCAAACAACTTTTTTTGTTGCACAGTTACAAAGTTAGAAAAATAAAGTGACCCTGTTCGCTTATGTCATGACGTTTTCTAAGTCCTGTAATCGTAGACGTTGGTGTCTCTTTACACCGCTTCAGGCGTAGAGGTATTTTCGTACGATTTAAAATTGTTCCACGGGGATCACTTCAAAGAACGGTGGTAGGGCATATTGTAAGTCCACACACCCGTGTTCCCTCGGCGGTATGCTCGTCTGCTTTCTAAGGCAGTAAAAACCTTTTCTTACCGTGACAACCGTACGTGTCGGTCTGTAGGGTAAGGTATATGTTTTATAATATTATTGAGGCTTCATCACATCCCATTGTGACCTTCAATAAACCTATACCTATCTAGTTCACAAATTTTCACAGCAGTATCACTTATAGTTGTGTCCAGTGCTAAATCTTAACCGATCAAGAACACACATAATCTCGTGTCAGTTTCTGATAAAATATGACCGATTCTATCTCTTCGACGAGAGGAGACCTTGCTAATGTCAAGTGGCCCGTAGCCCGAGAGTTATGTGCATAACGCCTGCTCTGTGATTTATCTCGTTTCAGATTCGGTGACCCATACATATGCATGTATGACCACAAGTCAGTTCCATGGAGTTAAAAGAAAAATGACACAAGTTCGAAAACCCTTTTTGGATTTAATAGCCAAGTTTCATTATGGCTAAATGAAGTACACGTTCTTATTTCTGCAAAGTTTTATAGTTTATTGCGTCGCGCGGAAGGAAATTCGACGTCGCCCTAAGCACGTCATTACGGATCCTCCCGATCCATTAACGGTGCTTTTAGACACCACAAGCACCAGTCACCGTCCTCGCCGAACCCGTGGCTTGTGACGAAAGGCTCGACGAATAAATTAACCCATGACCCATAGACACAGCCCACTGAATTTCTCGACGGAATTTCTCAGTGGGTCGCGTTTCCGATCCGGTGGTAAATTCTGCGAAGCACTGTTTTTGCTGGGGCTAGCGTTAGCAACACTTCCNACGGTGCTTTTAGACACCACAAGCACCAGTCACCGTCCTCGCCGAACCCGTGGCTTGTGACGAAAGGCTCGACGAATAAATTAACCCATGACCCATAGACACAGCCCACTGAATTTCTCGACGGAATTTCTCAGTGGGTCGCGTTTCCGATCCGGTGGTAAATTCTGCGAAGCACTGTTTTTGCTGGGGCTAGCGTTAGCAACACTTCCGGTTTAAGCTCCGTGAGCTCACCTACATGTTAAGGCGAAGCTGAAATAGCCTCTCAAGGCTATCAGCATAGGTAGGAAAGAAAACAAAAAGGAAGGTCATTTTACGTCTTGCTTTCTGCGCAATGTGGGAGTTTCTGTATACTCTTGAACATTTATATTGCGAATTCGACCTCATGTCACAAGGTGATTAGCACTTCATGCAGCTCAAAGAATGAATGCAGGTAGAATACGATTTATCCTAATCGTGCTACAGAGTTATTTTTATAAATATGGTACAGCCTGCATTAGACCAACTCATCAATCGTAAAGGATTTTGTAAGTCGTAAATAACTCAGAATTGTCAAGTTTCGGAGTTATACTCCTTCCTGGTTGAGGGAGCACGTTTTAACAAACGGTTTTTCGACCGCCATTGAAGGGGGGTGCCTGTTTCATTTTCAGGATTTATGTGAAACTTTTTGTTCTGTTTTGTTCGCAGATTCGAACGCTGACACCGCAGTGAAGAAAGACCCAGTGAAATTAATTAAATACATCATTAAAAATAAAAGCTCGTCTCATTCTTTTACTTTTATACCTGCGATAAAAGAATTACGTGATTGCTGTGAGTTTTTAGGTTAATACATTTTTGGTTTAGATCTTATGCCGCAGCGACACTGACGTTATGATGGCTATAGACTCCAATTGTCACTTTACATCAAGTAAGCCGTGGGCTCGTTGATCCGTCTAGTTTTTTTAACGTTATATACAATAAAAAAGCCCTAAGATACACCGGCGAAAGTTCCAATTGTTTTAGGATTAAGGAACGTTCTTTTCAAACGGGCGTAAAACAATTCAATTCTAAGCAATAAAAAAAAAAAAAAACACGTGTGTGAGGGCTTTTTTTATCCTATCACCAATAAAATTCGTCTTAACAATATACATTCGACGGCTGTGTGTTCGAGTTATCATATAAGTTTATTTTGCGAAAGGAACACTAACCTAAGTTACAAAACAAATAAACTATGTAAGTAAGTACGAACAGGTATCCAATGTCCGGCCCAATGAATAACAAAGTAGAAACATGTTAAGCAAGTTTACTGAACCGTATTACGTTAGGAACTCGACCGACTGGGAGGCATCTAAGTACCTATTGTTAGTTACTTCTCATCAAAAGGTACGCTCATGCGTGACTGTTGATGTAGGACGTGATAGAAAATAAGAGATAAAGATCACGCAGCCTAGTGTACCTAAGTAATTTCTACAGATGAAAGGTTACATACGTAGTTTATTTTCCTGATTTTATACAGTTTTCTGATTTTGCAGAAATTCTCGGAATCTGTCAATTGTTCGCTGACTTCCTATTCTACTTCCTAACTAATTTCAACCGTAACCACCTCCTACCTATGCTGATAGCCTTGAGAGGCTATTTCAGCTTCACCCTAACGTGTGTAGGTGTGCTCATGGGGCTCAAACCGGAGTGTTGCTAACACTGACCCTAGCAAGAGCAGTGCTTCGCAGAATCTACCACCGGATCGGAAACGCGACCCACTGAGAAAATCCGGCGAGAAACTCAGTGGGCTGTGTCTATAGGTTAATTCGCTCGTCGAGCCTTTCGTCGCAAGCGACGGGATCGCCGAGGACGGTGACCGGAGTCGTAACCACCAATATCCATGTTACGTACTAGAGTTAGGAAGTATTATGATATAGCACAAGCACAAAAACTATCAATCATGCAATATGGTCTTAAAATAGGATAGCTGCTATTTCAATTATATCTGGACAAGACTCTGGCAAAATTAAATTATTTCGAAGACTTGGTCAGTTTCACTAGTGAAGCTTACAAAGCCTTCAAAGTTATTAAAATAAATGGAATGAGCGAAGAGCTAGGCTAAAATGATATTCAATTTGGTGTGATACTGAGCATAAACAAAAATATATTAATTTTAGTCGATAACTTAATTCTGAGACAAATTATAATTGTAATTAAGTCGATAGTGCACTGGCCTGACTGTGCTGACGAACATCTATGAGCAACGGTGAACACCACCATAGGATAAGACATATTTTGCTTACAAAAACAACTAGAACAACTACCTATAAAAACTAACTATCAGAAACACAAAGAAGAATTCGAAACTGTTAATTTCAAAATATGAAATATTGTTGCTTTAAAATGTAAATTAAACGAAAACGAAAGAAACACATATTCAGCATTTGTATTTTAATAATTTACGTAGCTATAACAACATTTGCAGACCATAACTTAGTTGAGTTTTTCCAAGTCATTCAATCCCGTTTTTGCAGGATAGCCGTGGGAGCTCCGTAGTTCGTCAGGAACGTCGGCCTCCATGACGACCTGGACATAGATTCCATCAGTAAGGATCTGCAGTCGGCGTCGATGCGCCACTTCGATAAAGCGGCACGGCACGAGAACCCTCTCATCGTGGCCGCTGGTAACTACATTCCCGATCCTGCGGAAAGAATGGAAAGCAGTCGACATTGCCCCAAATACGTCATTTCGGATCCTCCCGATCCACTAACGGTGCTTTTAGGTACCTCAAACACCGGTCATCGTTCTCGTCGAACCTGTCGCTTGCGACGAAGGGCTCGACGAGTAAATTAACCCTCAGACACAGCCCACTGAGTTTCTCGCCCAATATATTACCATTTCAAATAAATCAACTTTATTTCATGGCACTCCATTTTTCATTTAAACTTTAAAATATTTATACGTACCTAGGGGCTCAATGAATTTGGGCCCCTTTTTTAATTTTCGGAATGTGCATTGTAGGTGATGGTTTGCTTAATAGATATAAAATAATTAATAATTGGGAATTTAATTGTTTTCATGATCGATCTTTCACCAATAGTCATTGAACAATTAAATTAATTAATCTGAGCGATAAAAATAAAGATATCTAGTAAGAGGGGCCAACTTAAGGGTGATCATTTGTTTAATTAATTATAAATAAATAAAAGACGAACAAACAATTTTTACATTCGAACATTAACGAACAAATGACGGACAAATAATTAAAAATAAAAAAAATCCGAAATACAAAAAGGGGCCCAATTCAGTGAGCCGTACCTAGGTAGGTAGTAATTGAATGACAATATTTCTCAACACTGGCAACAATGAGATCACAAGAAGCCAATTGCCAAACTAAAAAAAAGAAAAAGAGCAGTACCTATCTAGCGAACCGGGTAATTTCAATTTATTAAAACTGATTGACTTGACAGTATTAGGAACATTGACGGGATAGCGAGTCTAAAATACATTTTTATTGCATTATGATTAAGCACAATTTACAAATTTAATGTTTTGTCAGGCCTTGAAAGGCCTAGCCAGTAAAAAGTATCTCTGAGGTAACTTTGTTGTTGCGGTCCTAGAGTACCTCATTGGTACATAGGGTCCTCCACAAGCTGTTTCCACTTCACCCTGTCTTGCACTTGCTCCTTAACATCACTCCATGTCAGGCCGGCAGTCCTCATCTCCCCCTCCACGGTACGTCGCCAAATGTATACGGAGCAACCAGGTTTTCTCCTGCTACACGGTTGCCATTGAAAAGCCATCGACGCTGTGTTGACTCCACTGAACCGTAGTGCTATCTAAAGGTAACCTTACATAAAACTTAATTACAAAGTGTCCATGTAAAATCATTTTATAAGTAACAGATATAACTGTGCGCACTTGCGCTAATCGTAACGAGAGTATTTGTTTATAATATGTATGTATATATTTATACATGTATACTAAAATATATATATAATGTATATATATATATATATANTGTTGACTCCACTGAACCGTAGTGCTATCTAAAGGTAACCTTACATAAAACTTAATTACAAAGTGTCCATGTAAAATCATTTTATAAGTAACAGATATAACTGTGCGCACTTGCGCTAATCGTAACGAGAGTATTTGTTTATAATATGTATGTATATATTTATACATGTATACTAAAATATATATATAATGTATATATATATATATATAAACTTCGGTATACTGTATTGTTTTGAGAGTGATAGTTATGTATTTTAGAAAATACTAAAATATATAAGTTAAACGTCTAAGTTAAAATGGTAACGTAATTTAATACAGGTACATATGTAATTAAATAATGACATAAAAAGTAAATAATTCTGATGGAAGTATAGGAGGCTGTCATTTTCAATGTTCCATTTCCATGCTGTTGATCAAAAATTTTGTTAATATTATAGCGCTTCTTTTCATATTTGGTAAATTAGCTACAGTAGCGCCATCTTAAAATCATTTTAATTCGGGGATGCATAAAACACAGAGAGTCCTCTGTAATATATTATAATATATTTTTTATAAATAATGTAATATAATGGTATCTTTTTAACTGTTTAAATGTTCGAATGCTCGTGAAAGTGTACAATATTTTTTTTAGAGATTATTTAAATATTAAATCGATTTTTCCCCCAAAATACAAAACTTCGGCTATAAAGTACAAAAGTAGTCGTGGGTCGGACACATTTCTTTTGTTTACCTCAAACAAAAACCAAAAAAACACAGCTGGAAAGTTAACAAATATCGCACAGAGTACTTCTCAGTGAAATTTATTTTTTATCTGTGAAAAAAGAATGTTTATGCGTGGAAGTGTCTACTCTACTGTCTACATTCCAGTTTGAATTTTTTGTGAAAAGTGTGTTTAAACCAATATTAAGTGTATAATCTATGGTTTAAACCACTGATTACATATTAAGTACTAGACGTACTAGTTGTAATTTTAGTGTCTCTTAAGAATGCTGTTGATATGATACACTGAGCGAAATTTACTGAATATCGAAATTTCATATCTATTTTCATTCATATTGAGTGAATCTGATTTAGGTAAGTAATTTTAGTTTTTTTAAATGTTTTCGCAATAGGATGTAATTTAATTTTATNGTTTAAACCACTGATTACATATTAAGTACTAGACGTACTAGTTGTAATTTTAGTGTCTCTTAAGAATGCTGTTGATATGATACACTGAGCGAAATTTACTGAATATCGAAATTTCATATCTATTTTCATTCATATTGAGTGAATCTGATTTAGGTAAGTAATTTTAGTTTTTTTAAATGTTTTCGCAATAGGATGTAATTTAATTTTATGAAATCTGCATAATAAAATATGTATTCTATCGTTTTATTCAATAACATTGTTTTATGATACAAAGTAATCAGATATTACAAAAATATTTAACAATTTTTATTACTCTTTAATTTGTTTTATCTTCTACAAAGTAGTTATTATAATTTATATTAGATAGATTTTGTTGAAAATTAGGCTGCACAGCAAGTAGTATTATTCAAATACCCTCCCTCAAAATTGCATTATTTCAATAAATAAAAAAAAGTATACTTTAATATATTCTTAAACATTAAAGGGATATAATAAAATAAAGAATATTATAATAAAAAATAAAGTAACCTTAACTTTTATTTAAAATATGTTTTAAGCCAATTTTTTTCCATGTACCTGAAACTAAAGATTATAATCATTGAATTTGAAATGATTTCTCCCCGTTTCTAGTTTTGTTATCTAGAACAATCATTTTCGATAAATAAATTAAAACAAAAAATATTTTCATTTTAACTTTAGCATCCGTCATTCATTTTATTTTTAAAATTTATTAAACTGTTAAATTTGACTGACACAGAGATGTAATAGTTAGTGCCTCTGGCTGTTACACCGAGGGTAGTAGGTATGATTCCCACATCTGGAAAACATTGTGTGATGAACATGAATGCGTGCTCGTTGTCTAGGTTTGTATTATATAAATATTTAAATATATATAAGTATAAGTATGTATATAAGGGAATCCTAAATTAGGGTTGGATAACCACATGTAATTTGTTCCCTCCCAGTTATTATTATTATTATTAAAATGGTTATACTATATGCAGAGCTCAAAGAGATAGATAGATTTTTTTTAAATATTTAATAAAACTCAAGAACATACTCATGCATACTAATATTCTGGAAAATCATAATAAACATCATTCTCCCTTTAAAACAGTTCAGGACTACTCTAATTAAAACAACGGGATAACTGTATTTTGATCTGGTGTTTGACGGTTTATCTTCACCATGTCATAAGTGTCCAACATTCTGTGTTTTTTCTGGTTATCTGAATGCAAATGATTTTGGTGGTATCCACCTGTCTGTGAGTGTATCTAATTCTGTAACAAAAGCTAAAATATGTTTGTTTTTTTTTTTTTTTTTTTATTGCCTTTGTAGGCATACGGGCATACGGCCCACCTGATGGTGAGTGGTTACCGTCGCCCATGGACTTCAGCAATGCCAGGGGCAGAGCCAAGCCGCTGCCTACCAAACCTTTGTGCTGCCATCCTACTAAAATACCGTGTGTTGCCAACAGCAACTGTTATATTCGATTATAGCAATCGTGTCGGCTCTTCCAAATTGTTTACTCCCAACTGCACTTGAAAGATGTAAGGCCAAGCCATCAACATGATAGTACACTGTTTCTAAACAGCATTCATCAAAATATATCTGCTAGAATTTTCACGTTAAGATCGCCATTCGTACGATCACGCCTGACAAATGGAAGTTGCACGAAATACCTTATTGTATGCAGTATTTTATGTAGTTATCAAAGAATAATAATTCTACGCTTGGTAAATGTGAGATATTAAATTGTACAAATTCGCAATACATAATCGCGAATGACCACACGTGGCGCAGCTCGTTGCCGCAACATTCGACTTCGCGCCAGTTACTTAACGGTCGCGAATGTTGTTGGTGCTTGTTTAAGGTTTAATAAAAAAAAGTATATTAAAAAAATCGTGATTTTTTTGTTATCTGTGGTAAGTTCATTCTTGTATTGACACAAAAATATTTTTTTGTGTAGACGAATTTGCCATTTAAGTCAATTTTTTAATTATATGTACTTCCAATTTGAAATGAATTTAAACATTTCACATAGTTCATTGACCTTAAGCAAGAACTGAGGATTCCAAAATGTTATGTCACCTACTCGTAATTTTGTCATGTTTTTTGTTATTTTTAAATGTTGTCAACGCCTACTACTACCTGTTAATGGAATTTATATAATATAAACAGGCTTCTTTCTAAAGGAAGTATTAATTTTTATTATATATCAACTATAACGATATTTAAAGAGTCATTGAACTTTTAATTACGAATAAAAAGGATATTAGCTTCACTGGATATTATTATGCCGCATTTTACCTCAAATTTATTACTTTGAAATTGTATACTTCAGAGTTTACGTTTATTATAATTAAAGTTATTCGCAAAAACCGAAGTACTAAATGACTGAACGAAATATTTCTTAGATTATGTTACGTTTGAAAAATATACATCATTATATCTCTAGCGAAATATCGTGTAACTATAATATACGGTATAATTATTAACAGTCTTAGCACGCTGCGTTTTTGCACGCTAATCTCAACAAGCGCTAAATAAAATCGAAATCAGCTTTCAATGATTAATTTATATAAGCTTGGAATAATAGAGATTAGGTATGTCTATTATTATTCCATTACCATGCACATAGGTATGACGAATATTATGGAACAAGTATATATGACTTCTTAAAAAACTTATTTTCCTGTTTTGCCTTGATCCTGAGCTTAGTTTCAAAATGTCGTGTGCCCGCTCACCGAATACAAGTCGTCGTGGCCTAAAGGATAAGACGTCCGGTGCATTCGTATATAGCGATGCACCGGTGTTCGAATCCCGCAGGCGGGTACCCATTTTTCTAATGAAATACGTACTTAACAAAAATATATAACATCGTGTAATAAAACCAAACCCGCAAAATTATAATTTGCGTAATCACTGTTGGTAGGACCTCTTGGGAGTCCGCACGGGTAGGTTCCACCACCCCGCCTATTTCCGCCATGAAGCAGTAATGTGTTTCGGTTCGAAGGGTGGGGTAGCCGTTGTAACTATACTGAGACCTTAGAACTTATATCTCGAGGTGGATGGCGCATTTACGTTGTAGATGTCTATGGGCTCCAGTAACCACTTAACACCAGGTGGGCTGTGAGCTCGTCCATCCATCTATCTTTACAAATCAATTATAAAAATTGTAACTATTATAAATTGTCGTGCAAAAAATTACATATTTCGTCATTTTTAAAGTACATGTTCGGTGAGGTTGATACAACAGCACTCGTTATCAACAAAAAGTCAAGGAAATTATTTAACACTACTTTTTATTCCTACCTAAGCTGATAGCCTGGAGAATCTATTTCAGCTTTACCCTATCGTGTAGGTGAGCTCTCGCGGCTCAAACCGGAGGTGTTGCTAACACTGGCCCTAGCAAGAGCAGTGCTTTGCAGAATCTACCACCGGAGCGGAAACGCAACCCACTTAGAAGATACGGCGAGAAACTCAGTGAGCTGTGTCTATGGGTTAATTTACTCGCCAAGCCCTTCGTCGCAAGCGACGGGTTCGGCGAGGACGGACCACTTCTTGAAGCCGAGCAGGCTTTTATCACGTTCGTAAAAACAAATATGATAACTGAAATATTCAATAGAAACGGATTTTAAGATGAATGAGTAATCTTATTGGCCTCGAGAACTTGAAAATAAGTTCTTCACCTGTTCAAACAACATTCGTTTTCGAATGGAACACAGGTGCGAAGGCAAAAAAATAATAATAAAATAATAACGGATTACATAGAATAGTTAAATGACAAAACTTACTACAATTTGCACATTTGCGGAAACTAAATTTCAGTTAGACAAAGACGACACAATAAAATGGTAAATTATTAACTGGTGGTAGGACCTCTTGTGAGTCCGGGCGAGTAGGTACCACCACCCTGCCTATTTCTGCCGTGAAGCAGTAATTCGTTTCGGTTTGAAGGGTGGGGCAGCCGTTGTAACTATTCTTGAGACCTTAGAACTTATATCTCAAGGTGGGTGGCGCATTTTACGTTGTAGATGTCTATAGGCTCCAGTAACCACTTAACACCAGGCGGGCTGTGAGCTCGTCCACCCATATAAACAATAAAACTCGATCCTGTGAACCGAATGGTAAACAGTCGTCGTCGCACTTCATTACGAATCCTCCTGATTCATTAACGGTGCTTTTAGGTACCTCAAGCACCGGTCACCGTCCTCGCCAAACCCGTGGCTTGCGACGGAGAGCTCGACGAGTAAATTAACCCATAGACACAGTCTACTGAGTTTTTTTATTGCCTTTGTGGGCAGACGAGCATACGGCCCACCTGATGGTAAGTGGTCACCGTCGCTCATAGACGTCATCAATGCCAGGGGCAGAGAGAGCCAAGCCGCTGCCTACCATAGCAGGATCTCGCAGGATCTTCTCAGTGGGTCGCGTTTCGTATCAGGTGTTAGATTCTGCGAAGCACTGCTCTTGCTAGGGCCAGTGCTAGCAACACTCCCGGTTTGAGCCCTGTGAGCTCACCTACACCTCATAGAGAAGCTGAAATAGCCTCTCAAGGCTATCAGCATATGTAGGAAAAAAAAAGGTGTTTGAAAACAATAGATGTTTATTGTCCAATAACTTGAAAGTAAACAAAAGAATGACCTCTTTAAATATTCGATATTAATAATAGAATATGCAGATGCGCATTGCTTTTATTATGTTGTTTAAGTGTGGTCTTAAACTTTTGGCCGGCAGTGTACATATATCAACAGTATCTTTCACAATATTGTTTTCCCATTCGTACATTGATTTTTATTCAATTAAAAAGAATATACATAAATGTATGAATTAAATTTTAATGTGCATTTTTAATTGGACACAAACATCGAAATAATAAGTTTTGAAGATATAACCGAATAATAAAAACTAGAGGTCCCGCAGTAGTCGAAATTCGACTA